CCATGTTTGAGGTTATGTTAAAATGGACCGGTGATGACAGCACCAGGTGTCGGCAGCAAACGTGGTCGTTCACCAAAAGCGCTGGTTAGCTCTAGCGCTCAAAAGACGCATAAAAAAGACGATCCTTCGTTGAGAAAGAATTTGCAGCGTAGACGCTTTGGACGACTCCTGTGTATCAAATAATGAAAAGTACAGCTGTACGATTGGGCAGCGAACCAACCTTCAAGCGGCTGACAGAATATATTCTCACAACAGCCGACCCGCTCTGCCGGCTACTGCGTATGTAAACGTCACTCAACTCCCAATCAATAGCAAGTGAATAAAGAATCTTAGCCAATAAACCTCATCATGACCTTCGGCCCTCTCGCAATCGTCATCATCAGCAGGCACAAGTGAAATGCATTTTACGACGTTGATATTTTGACGTCGTTGCGAAGTGGATTCAACCCTTAAAGTCTCTGCATAAGCGAACCCTTGCTTTTGACAATTCAAATCTGCATTCCCTATTCTTAACTTCTTCAGGGGCATGGATCGGGAAAACTTCTACGAAGCCGTCGTCGAAGTCGTTGGCTGCGGTCAAAACGGCTCCTGTTCTTGCGAAGAGTCGGCAAGGAGTTATTTCTAGATTTCGTAATGTTTCTTGGCCCGCGACCTGACAGTGACCAGCGGTCAATGGCAGATTCAAAGTCAAGGCCAAGCTTATTACAAGAATTAATTTTTGACATATCATCAAACGCTTACCATCGGCTGCAAGCATCAGTTAAAACTTGAGCCTATTCGAATAGAATCGTGCCGTGCTCAAATATATAAAGTGAACGTTTTCCATGCATTATTATATGTGTTGTAAGATTGCATAATATACAATGTGTTATATACCTGTTTTTGTTACTGAACGGTACATGACTTCTCTAAAATTATATTTCACGGCGTGCTGCGCCACTTCCTTGTCTCTACCCTAAATTACACATCCTGTTCTCTGGATGGGAGTTTAAGCGGGCCACGGCTTCATGGTGCTTGTGCACTTGCGCCTGAAGTGCCAGAAGCATCCCGCCTCATTTTATCCATTAGAACTACCTCGCGCATATCACAAACTACTATTATGAGCTGATACTCTACATGCTACTGCATAAACATGAAAATTTATCGACAGGCCATAATTCCTCAAAAACTAGATTTTAAAACTTTATGATTTAAACTGATGAAGTGATGAAATACGATGGATACGGTCGATGCTTAAATGACCTCGTCCAGGGGCTTGCCCGTTAAGCTGAGAAATTCAGTTTTGGTGGAACCAGGCACTCACCATCGCTAGATAATGTCCCATAAATTATGGTGAATACACTATTACGTCATCACTCAGACCGGTAATCCGTTCATGGCGGCACTGACTTCGAAATGGACGAAAATAATACGGGTTTAAACTGACCAGACTGGTAATACAGCAGATTTAAATATTTATCGGTAATTCTACTTCTGCAGTTAAGCCTCTGCATTTTCTTCTGCATAAGCAATTGTATGAAATGGCCTAGATTCAGGCTGAGACTTCATAGGTAAGGTGTTAAAAGTAAGAGATTCGTGTCACGAGGAATCGTCTCGAATTATATAGAATGCATTTTATCCTTTGAACCGTACACAAAACCACATGAGAGTTCCTATGCCAATATAACTTCAAGTAAATCATCACTGAAGCCGTTAACGCCACTGACGGAAAAACCAAAACATGCTTTCCTTTCTCCTGAAAAGGGAGTCTTGTTCCTTAATATGTGCATCGTCATTCCAGTATGCAAATTGAGTACACATTTCGGCAGGTAATCTAATAAATTCACTCAGTGAATCAGCTAACAACTCACTGCTTGCTTCACTCCTTAATTTTCATCATCTGTTAACAAAATAGACACGTGACTGAAAACTTCAATATGCATTTTTCATTCTTGAAATTCTAGCAGCGCGTATGATGTTCATTTCAGTCGTTTGCATAAGGTTGTCTTCTAGGATCAGTTTGGTCTTATCCCGGTAAAGCCTTAAATTATAATTTTCATCAGACAGTCTCGTCTCGACTTATTCTCATACTTTGACCAAAATATAGATTGTTTTGCGAAGCGAGAAAAAGTACCGTATTGTTTCAAGACGTATTCATCAACGCCTTAGTAAGTTGACTGTCTGAGGTATTTCGATTAACATTTAAGAGCTGCTTGTAGTTAGTCAGTGATATTTTTCTAAGTGAACCCTAAGCACAAGACATGTTCCCAAAACCCTAGGTATTACAATGAACAAGAAGTGAACAATAACACCACCAAGAGTCTGGTCAATAATGACAGTTCTTTGCTCTTAGGATCGGTAGACATCGGACAGGGAACTGAACGACTGACCTTCTGTAGGACTCAGTCCGGCACCTGCAAGACATATACATGAATCTTGTGCTTGGCTACTTCGAAAAGCACCGTTGGAAACATTAGTACAGCGGGCGAGTGGCACCCGTTGAAACAGAACTGCTCAAAGCAACTGTTATATTTATGAAACATTTATGAAACACGTTGTACGAGTGGATCCAAATTCGTCAGTGCCGTAATTACAGAGTCGGTCGAGTAGTTTCAAAACGCTTCGGATGTAAGCCAGCTGTTTTTTTCCGGAAAATACAGCAATATGACAGTACAGTGTAGAGGAAGAGCGGATTTGATGGGAAGAGAATGGAGAACTTGCTGAAGTCTTCTTGAAGCATTTCTGAGTCAACGCACAACTTCCTCAACCTGCGCAGCCGATCGTCACACTTCATCAGCCACTGCGTTGATTTGTTGTTTCCAGCCAAGCCTGTCGTTCACAATCAACCCCAAGTATTTCACGGCTGAACTTCCTACAGACAAGCTGTTACGGAACCGTACAGTTGGTAAAGCAAGTTATCACACAGGCTCCGCCTACACACCCTGCATGATGGAAGTTGTGGAGTCCACAGATTCCTTTGAATTCATTATGAGGCCATTGTCACTAAGCCAGTCCGCCACTTATTCAATGGTGAGGAATAAGCGCAACTGCTCAGATCTGGACTGAGGCCAATACTGTAATACCGACAACACTTTGCGCATATAGGACTAGATTTGAGGTTTCGAACTCATTTCTTTCTTTTTTCTACATTCCGCTTCCCATCGGTAGATCGCAAATCGATTTGAGCATGACTTAAATTCACGAGGTGTTCGCAAGCCAGCAAAAGTCCAAGAAAATATTCAGTGGATGCGATCGTTTGCTCGTGACGATGACAAGTATGACTTGTATCACAATATTTACTTGTGCTTGCACTGAATATCTTCGACTTCGCCTCAGTTAAATCGATTAATAACATTTATTGTTTGCTCTGACGGTCGACAACATAACGGTTAAATATTCGGTTCTGAAATTTGGGTCTGGGACAAGCAGCGGTGCCAGTAACCTCTCTTTCATTTTCGCAGTGCCTCCAATCAGCAAAGTTTGGAGGATGTTCGGTTCGACTTTGTGCCAATGCCATTGTCTGCTCGCCGTCCATGCAGAGCACAGGCCGTGTGATGCTAAGATTTTGGAACGACACGAAACTGATACGAAAGGTGAGTGAAAATCCTTCCACTCAACTGAACTCGATCCCACATTTTTGATCGGCACAGC